AATGTTCTGCAACTTGGGATTTTTGAAGTTTATCCCATGATTAGACAGGAGTTATGGATTTTTGGAAAGAAGATCTCAGAGGTAAGGTGCCATTCCCATGACGTCATATCAAGGGTGCGAACTGTCGACATGGTTTATCACTGTGGATGGTGATCTGGATCCCCTGGCTGAGGTGGTGTGTGACCAGTTTCTCCACTGTAAAGTTACTTTTCCCCCCATTCCCATGCTGTCCTCTTTGGAATGAAGTCACTATGTGTGGCCCACACTTAAGGAGGAGGAGTTATACTCCACGATAAAATATTTGGAATTTTTATACATGGGAGATCTGTCGATTCTCCCCATGTATTTACTTAGTCAGTCACTCATTTATGTGAGTATGGAGTCATGGATATTCACTGTATACTTTGAATTATAACCCACTACTACCTTCGTTATCTGCTGCTCGTGTTGCTCCAGGTTTGGCCATTGAAAGCTCTCTCAGCTGACTCCCGTGTCCCTGTGACCTACCCCTCTCCCTTTTCTAGGTTACCTTACTTTTGATTCATTCTTTATATCAAGCAATGAGATAGAAATTTCAGAATGCTGAGTCAAAGGATATTCCTACTGATGATTTATCCTCTTACCAAAAGGATATTTTTTAAAAGTCATATACCACCCACAGTTGCATGAGATTCCTTCTTTGTTCAAAAGTCCCAGAAGTTGTTTTACAGGTTGAATGAATATGTAAGGTTTTCCCTGCAACCAGCTGACTTATTCTAATCCCTTTAATTGCTTCATCTGGGCAGAAACTATGGGCAGAGGTAACAGCCAACTATATTATTTCATCGGCGGTGGGTTCAATGGACAGATCCCCCTCTAATAAATATTAAAATAGTGAGCAAGTATTAAGGTTAGGCTCATTATGAAGTTTACATGAACAGTAAACAGTATCTGCTATCTAAGTCTTAGCTGCCGTCATCCTCTTTCTCATCATCATCATTGTCATTTTCCTCGGGAAGGATCACACGGATCTTTGTGTAATTTACTTAAAGAACACAGAGGGGAAAATGACTTACTAATCCTGTTTATTTTCCCCCACCAATATCGTTATCTGTATGTTGGGCATTGAAGGGCTTTAAGCCTGTAAAGGAGGATTTAGCCAAGGTTCTTCCAGAGCCTGTTGCCCACGGTCCTTGGAGACTGTCACCACCAGCCTCTCCATCACAAGCTGTACCTTCCTAGAGATACCACTCCTAGAGAGACCACCAGGGGAACCCTTGGTGCCTGACCTGGGAGAACAGGCAGAGTGGCCGCAGCCCTCTTCACACTTGGCAGATGAGGAAACCCTGCCATAGTCATGGTGACTGAGTCACAGGAGGTTTCCCATCTACTCTGTCCCACCACTGAAGTTTCTTTTAAATTATTTTTATAATACTTAGTATGGTATTGCTACATGATGAGCCTTTTAATCCTTTCGAATGCTAAACTCAAATTAAGATGAACTGTCTATTGTTAATTGCTGCTTCTGATTAATACAGGATCTCTAGCAAGAGCCCCAGACTCTGCACACATACAGCCTTGTGTAGCCAACATGCTCACTTTTGGCCTGTCTCCTTTTAAGTTCATTTCAATTCATTTAAATTCATTTCCGCACATCCCACTGTGCCCTCAATACTGCTCAGCAGCCACATTCCATTCCCCCCATGGCCTCCCACCCTCCTAGTTCATTAACCCACCCTCCTCTACCCTCACACACAGCTTCCAGCATCACTGAGAAATTAGAAGCCATTGCAAAAGGCCTTCTGTAAGCTCCCACCTCCACATCCACCCAAATCCAGAGCCTCATATTCCTCCTTCCTTCCTACTGCAGTAGATGAAAAGTCCTCATTTCCTTCTAAGGCCATAGCCCCGTTCATTTAATCTCACCCTCTCTCACCTGTTCAGAGTCTCAATGCCAGCAGTTCTCCACACACTCCCCTGTATCATCAATTTTTCCCTCTCTACTGGGCTATTTCCACCAGCATTAGAACGTATTTCCCCCTTCTCAAAAACAACAACAAAAAATCTTTTAAAAATTAAAAAAAATAGGGCTTCCATGATGGCGCAGTGGTTAAGAATCCACCTGCCAATGCACGGGACATGGGTTTGAGCCCTGGTGCAGGAAGATCCCACATGCTATGGAGCAACTAAGCCTGTGCACCACAACTACTGAGCCTGCGCTCTAGAGCCCGTGAGCCACAACTACTGAGCCCACCTGCCACAACTACTGAAGCCCGTGTGCCTAGAGCCCGTGCTCCGCAACAAGAGAAGCCACTGCAATGAGAAGCCCGCGCACTGCAATGAAGAGTAGCCCCACGGCTCGTTGCAATTAGAGAAAGCCCGCGGGCAGCAACAAAGACCCAACGCAGCCAAAAATAAAAATGAAATAAATAAAAATTAAAAAATGTTTTTAAAAAGTAATTGTGATAAAAACCGCATGGCATAAAATTTATCATCATAACCATTTCTAAGTGTACAGTACAGTAGTTTAAGTATATTCACATCGCTGTGCATCCAACTTCCAGAACGTTTTCACCTTGCAAAACTGAAACTCTATACTCATTAAACAACGACTCTCCCTTTCCCCCTCCCTCCATCCCTTAGCAGCCACCATTCTTCTTTCTGTTTAAGTGCATTTGACTACTCTAGGTCCCTCATATAAGTGGAGTCATACAGTAGTTGTCTTTTTGTACCTGGCTTATTTCACTTAGCATAATGTCCTCAAGTTTCATCCATGTCATAGCATGTGTCAGAATTTTCTTCCTTTTTAAGGCTGAATAATATTTCCTTGTATGTATATACCACATTTTGTTTATCCATTCATCTGCTGATGGACATTTGTTGTTGCTTCCACAATGACTATTCTGAATAATACTGCTATGAACATGAGTGTACAAATATCTCTTGAAGACACTGCTTTTAATTCTTTGAGAAGTGGAATTTCTGGGTAATTCTATTTTTAATTTTTTGAGGAATGCACCATTTCACATTCCCACCAGTAGTGCACAAGGGTTGCAGTTTCTCCACATCCTCATCAACGTGTTATTTTTAATTTAAATCTTATTTTTTTTATAGTAGCCATCCTAATGGGTGTGAGGTGGTATCTCATTGTGGGGCAAAAATCTTTCAATCCTACTTTTCCTGCTGCTGTGGCTAATTGGCCACTCCTTTTTAAGACAAGACTCCTTGCAAGAGTTGGCTTTACTTCCTGATCCAGTGCCTCCCTTCTCACTATTTCTTAAGCTTATTCCAATCAGGTTCTCATCTCACCTACTGCACCACAGCCTCTCATGTCGAAAAGTTGCTACGTGGCCACTTCTGGTCCTCCATGTATGACTGAGCATTTGACATGGTTGGTCACTCTCTTCTCCATGAGACACTTTCTCCATCTTGTCCCCGCAGTGCCGTGCTCTCCTGCTTCTCTTTCTACCCCACTGGGTAGAGTTCCTGGTTTCTTTTGCTGGTCACCCCTCTCTCTCCGACTTCTTCATGTTGGAGTCTTTCAGGGGCTCAATGAATGGATCCTCCTCTTCTCCACCTACCCTCAATTCTCTGATGATCTCATTCATTAGCATGGCCTTAAATATCAACTCGCTACTTACGATTCCAAAATTAGATCTCCGTTTAGACTTTCCCCCAGAACTCCGTAGTCCAGTATACGTACCTGCCTACTTACCATCTCTTCTTGGATCTAAGCATCTTAAACCTGACGTGTCCAAAATCAACCCGACCTTCCCTCGTTGCCTCCACTCTCCCCTCCTCTGTCCCCCACCTGCAAACTCCCTGGCCCAAACCCTCGGAGTCATCCTTGACTTCTTTCTTTTTCTCTCACACACTACATCCAGTGTGTCACAACGTCCTTCTGGTTCCACCTTCAAAATCTGTCCAGAATCTGTCCCCTTCTCTTCACCTCCACTGCTCTCACCCTGATCCAACCCACCATCGTCGCTCATCTACTCTAGATTAGTGGTCCTCTCACTTTTGCTCCTTTCATCTCTTCTCAACACAACCGTCAGAAAGATTGTTAAAAATGTCAGTTTAGATTCTGTAGTTTCTCTGCTCAGAAGAGCTCAGAGCAAAAGTCAAAGAACTTACAGTGTCTTGCAAAGCCCTGTGGTTTTACCACCTCTCCAATCTCACTCCTGCCACCTTAATGTGGCACAAACACTCCAGGCATGCTCTGCCTCAGGACCTTTGCAGTTGGTATTCTCATTCACTGGAATGTTTTTCCCTTAAACACTGGTATGACTTAAATGAATGAATGTAGAATGGTTGGATAACTAGCAGTAAGAATACTATTTCTCCATGACTACTAGTATTATTACATCCTAAAAATCCAGGAATCAAGTTAGGATATGGATGGGGATTGCATATACATTAACAACAGAATGTACACCCTTGCTACTCAAAGTGTGGTCCATGGGCCAGCAGCATCAGCACCAGCCTTTGATGGTCTCCACTGCAAGAAATAAACCCTGAGAAGCATGTCACCTTTTGGAATAATGGCTCCTGCTGTCTCTTCTAGCAGGACCCAGTGATCTTTGTGAACAGAAAACTCAGCAGAGTGAGCAAAGCTTCAGGATTATTGGTCACTGGGTGGCTGTCAGGAAAGACCTGTCCACAGGAAGCTCAGGAGCACAGGGGCTCAGGCTGGGAACTGTCCCCCACCCTGCATCCTGCACTCAGGAGGCTTATAGGCTGCAATTCCTCACACCTCTGTGTGCCCCACACCCACTGCCTGACACAGTCATTTCCTGGGTGGCTCCACTGTAAGGACGGGGTGCAGAGCTGACCTCTGGGTGTGACCCAAACTTGAATCTTGATCATGACCTTGAATCTGAAGTTCAGCCCCCAAAGCTGCACAACAGAAAGGTGTGGAAGAATGACAGAGTAGCAGTGGTTAACTGAGCCTAGGAAGGATCCTGGGAAAGTGTAGAGAGCATCTCCAGATTTTCTTTGACTCCCTGGGTTCTCTCTTGCAGCTCAAGTCTCGGGTCCTCATGACGCCTTTAGCCCTCTCACCCCCGCGGAGCACGCCGGAGCCCGACCTCAGCTCCATCCCTCAGGATGCAGCCACCATACCCAGCTTGGCAGCGCCACAGGCTCTCACAGGTAGGTGAGGCGAATGAACTCCAAGGCTGGGATGACCTGCCCACCAGCTAAAGTTACTTTGTGAACTAGAGAGCTGCCACTGAGGTCGCTCAAATGAAGGATTCAGTGTGTCAGTTGGACAGTAGATAGGATGACCCAATTCTCTGAGAACAGGAGTTTAGTGTCTCACAGCTAGGATTATTTAAAATTGGTTTTCAATACATCTTGGGTTCAGCTGGTTGCTGTGGGTGGGTGGAGGCTAGAAAGAGTGGTTGGCGACCCAGACTATCTTCAGAGCCACGTTTACTTTGCACCAACAGCGAGCCTGCTCACCTTGAAGAGTTTCTATCCCTGTGTTTGTACTTCCAGATCTCCTAAGGATCCTAATGCCCCTCAATCCCACCCAGTGCCTTCCAGTCCAGTTCAGGGTGGAGCTCGGCCCAGTCTCCCTCATGGGTCATCCACCAACCAACGGTTCCATCTTAAAAGTAACAGCAGTCGGATGGTGTCTCTCTCTCTCTCTCTCTCTCTCTCTCTCTCTCTCACACACACACACACACACACACACACACACACACACACACATACACATACACATCCATAGTTCCCCCTCATCACAAACCATCCACAGCCCCATCCCACTTAAATCCCTCAGTGCCCTCCTAATGCTGTTAGGTAAAGACCAAATTTTGTAGTATGGCCAACAAGGCCCTGCTCTTAGTCTTTAGGGCCCATCATAGGATCGTAGCATATTCTCTTTCCTTTTTCTAGAATGATCTTTCCTCTGGGGTCAACCTATTCCTCCCTTGTACCTCAGCTCAGGTACCTCCCTCCAGAAAGCATTCACTGACTTTCCTGCCAAGCTTCCCAGGACGGGCTATCCTAGCATCTCCCTAATGTTTCTTGCAGCCAAGGTCCCACATCACTTCCTGTGATTCTCTGAGTAGGTCTGTCTCCCCTTCTGGGCCCTAAGTTCTCTGAAGTCAGGGATTGTGTAGATTTTCTCTGTAGGGCCTAGCACACTGCCTGGCATGAAGGTCCCTTAGCAATTACAGATTTTCCTTAATCATGTGGGATTAGTTGAAGAAGGAAGCCTGGTAGAGTGAAAAGAGCACAGGCCATGACATCAGAAAGATGTTAGTTAAAATCCCTATTGCACCATTAATTACACTTTCTGAGCAGCCACTAACCACTTTTAACCTCGGTTTCTTCTTTAGTAGAGGAAGTAATAATATTTAATTCTCAGGCTTATCTTGAGAATCAAACAAGATAAAAGATATACAGTGCCTGGAATATAGTAGGTGCTCAATAAAAACTAATTTTCTTCAACTTTGTTGTTACTGTTTAATCCTTCCAAAGTCCTATTGGTCTCCTCTTAAAGTCCCTCTTTAACGCTTCTCTGCACTAGTGGCCCCCAGGGTAAGATGCTCATACCTGGGCTGGGGGCAGGGGGAGACATAAGAGGAGCCATTAACATGTGGAAGAAAATATGACACCTACTATTAATATTTCTTTTTATCTCATCCTTTAAATTTTTCTATTTTTTGGTTACATCTTTAAAATGTATGTAATACATTAATACGGTTGAGAATGTATATAATCTATAAATAAATAAACACGTTAGGGCATGTGGTAAAAATTTTTTTACCAATGGGGTATATTACTTTGAAAGTGTGGGGACCATTGGTTGGGCTCACCTAAATGGACTGCTGAGTGTTCATTATCCTGAGATTGTAAATAGAATCCTCTTTAGAATTTCATCGAATATATAGTCTTTGGAGTAATTAGCAACATGTTGATTTTTTTTAATTACTGAAGGTTAACAAAAAAAATGGCAAACATTATATATAGCTTGATAGCTTCCTGGGAGGAGAAGGGAAGATTTTGGGTATGTTCCCAGCACATAAATACATTTATATACATGGTCCACAATTGTCCATAATTGTCTACAATTCAGATTTGAGTACATCGGAGGGGACATGCCTATTTCTTCCCAACCAGGAAGCCTTTCTGAGAGCAAGCCCTGGCAGCTAGAGGTGATTGACTCTATTGCCTCTTTTACTTCTTAAGTTGGGAAGAACTGGTCCCACTTTGGCCTTTGCTTTCACAAGACCAGGGCCAAGGGGACATGGCTGAGGCCTCCCCAGTGGGCACGGGAGCCACCGCTGGCCTGATGTGCTTCGATGCTGAGGGCTTTGTGGGTCTGTTTCCACAGTCTGCCTCTACATCAACAAGCAAGCCAACGCAGGGCCGTACCTGGAGAGGAGGAAGGTACAGCAGCTCCCCGAGCACTTTGGGCCCGAGAGGCCGTCGGCTGTCCTGCAGCAGGCCGTGCAAGCGTGCATCGACTGTGCCCACCAGCAGAAGCTGGTCTTCTCCCTGGTCAAGCAGGGCTACGGTGGTGAGATGGTGTCAGGTAAAGCCCTGGAGCAGGCTGTATGAGGAGGGCCATGGGTGTGTCTCCAAAGAGGAAAATAGCTGTAATCAGGCTTGGGGGACTGTGGCCAGGGTCTGTCCCCATCTTCTGGGCTCCAGGGTCCTTAAATGAGCCTGTGTGCCGAAGGTGTCTCTTGGGGCTTCAGGAGAAGATACTTCCAGATCTGGATAAGAAGACTGGACATCTGAATCCTCTCCCTTGACTTGCCTCTTTCACCTCCCACTTCCAACCCATCAATAAATCCTATTGTTCTAACTGCAGAATATATCCAGAATCCTTTCAGAATCAACTGCAAAATATATCCAGAATTCTTTCACGATTCTGGTTCTTTCAAAATCTAAGTCAGATCATGCCCCTCCTTTTCTCCAGACCCTCAATGGCTCCCATGTCACTCTGAGAAAGAGCCCACATCCTTACAAGGGCCTCCAAGTCCTATGTGACCTGGTCCTGGGAACTTCCTTGATCTCCTGGTCACTTCTATTGAGTCCCAAACTCTGCTCCGGCCACAGTGGCTTCATTCCTGTGTCCTCCAACCATGCTCCTCCTGCCTCAGGGCCTTTGCACCTGCTGTTCTCTCTTTCTGGAATGCTCTTTCCCCAACTGTCCACGTGACTTGCTCCTGGAGTTCCTTCAGATTCCTACTCAAATGCCACCTTATCAAAAAGCCCTTCCCTGACCACATGTCTAACACATCAGCCCTTGTCACTATTTATTCTCCCTTCCTCTGCTTTACTCCTTATTCATAGCACTTAACACCATGCAGGGAAGTGGGGAATGTTCGTGGGCTAAACCCCACCTCACAGGACATTTTTTTTTTTTAAACAAGAGCCTTCAGGGTCAATCCCATCTCCCATTGTCACCACCCTCCTCCAGTTTCCACCCCGACCCAACAGCATCCAGAGGGAGTGGAAACTGTCACCACAAGTCTGAGGCAGAATTGGGAGCTCTGCCCCCTTCAAATGTTTCCCCGCAGAGGCTCTGTCTGTCTTTCCCGGGGCTCTCCACATGCACAGTGGCTGTTACCACCTGCCCTTAAGCCCTGGAGCTCCAGGCCTTTGCAAGATGCTTTGACTCCAAGGGGACAGCCTGGTGTCTTCTCTAGCCCAGCATCATAGACACAGCCTCCATATCACCAGGGAAAAGGGATACAATTCCCCAGCCACAGGGCAGTGCGGGTGACCCTGCTGGCTGGCTAGGGGTCGAGGAGAGGGAACTTTAATGTGGCTACGCCCTGAAAAACCAAAGCATAAGTGTTTTATTTAATTCCAGATTGATCCCGAGGGCTTGCAGATGGGGAGATTTTCCAACACAGCTTTACCAGCTCTGATTCAGCCCTCCTTCTGGAGCTCCCTGTGAGCAGGAAGCTGGGTCTGACTTGCTGGTAATTGATTAAAATAGAACTTGGCAAGGTCTGGGTGCCATGTGTCTGACCCGGGGTGACTTTTAAGAGACTTCAGCAGATGTGCGCAGAGACAGGACGAAGAAGGGCTGCACCAGGAGAGGCCAGGAGGAGGGCCCTGCTGTCGGGCCTCTGAGCGCTCCTTGGCTGTTCTTCTGCTTTCTCCCTGAGAGCCAGGTTCTTGATCCTGGACTGCCCTCTGAGGTTGAAGGCCTTGTCCTTTTCCTCGCTAAACAGCAGGGCTCAAGACGCAGACCCAGTGCTAAGAGAAAGCTCCTCCCGTACCGTGTGTCCCCACTCTTGAGCGAATCCCGTCTGAGTTCTTTGTGGCCCCTGCCCCCCAAGCTGGGAGAGCTGACCCCGTTCTCCCTGCTCTCCTGCTCAGCTTTTCTGCGGCCTCAGGGGCCTCGGTGCTGGGGAGGAGGCTTTGCAGTGCCTGGCACCAATGCATGAGCAGGCAGAGCCCTGCCAAGTTTCCCTTGGCTGAGGGATTCCCAGGAAGGCAGGAGCTGAGGACTTGGTCATGGAGAATGCAGTAGCGCTGAGGGGCCTCCTCATGCCACCTCCTTAGGTTGTGAGGTGGCAAGGTGGGCGTTCACGTTTCTGATGGTGATGTGCAGCCCAGCAAGGTGGTGCTAGCCCCAAGGTGGTTTAGGGAGGGACTCAAGGAGGAATAGTCAGACTCTCCCACTCTCCACCTAGAACCTGATCCTTAGGGCACTGCTTTCTAAACATTCCCAGGGCACAACATGTAGAAAATGGTGAACACTGGTGCTGGCACCATGGGCTAAGGGAATTTAACCTGCTGTGGCTGGGCCTTGGGCCACCCCAAAGGCTGAGGGGGAATAGTATCTCAGTACCCATGACCCACTCCTAGCACACCTGTTGGGACGCTTTGCCTTAGTCCCACTCTCCCAGAGGGGTAGATTTTGTGATCTCACAAATTCCATGTCTGCTTCCAGGAGGTGGAATTTTCCTACTATGTGACCATCCAGGCACCTCTGGGAATGTGTACACACTGATTTATGGCACAGGCCTGATGACCCAGACCTTCCTGCTGTGGGTTCAGTTTCCAGCACACCTACTCTTTCAAGGTATCAGAGGCAAGCAGCAGTGCCCACCTAAGAGGGAATTTCCAGAGTGTTCAAGTGGCCAGGATGACCCCCTTACTGAGCATCTAAGCAGCTCTTTGCTGGCTGTCCTAATCTGAGTCACCTGGAGTATTAAAGTGACAGGCAAGTGCCACTTACAGGCCTCATGAGCTGGAAAAATCCACTCTAGGCCTTCTCCTCAGTTTCCTCATCCATATTATGGAGGCATGACCTTTTCTCCACTGTCCTCACAGGACAGTCAGAAGGCCTAAATGAGGTGATAGGTGTGAAAGCTCTTGTCAAACTATAAAAAGCTACACAAAAGAAATATTGTTTTGATTTCTAATTTAAATGGGTATGGAGATTTTTTGTTGTTTGTTTTTTAGCTCTGAAATCAAAACTAGCTCTGGTCGCCCTGCCCCAGCCCTTACAGTGTGCTAGCCTTTGAGAGATATAGTATAAAAATCCAGGCTGCCTTCCAGGTGCTGGTGCTGAGGGCAGAGCCCAGGTGGGAGCAGAATGTCCTGCTGGGGATCTTCTCATGTGTTCTGCACCCTGGAGCTGCTGTGCGAGCTTCATGCAGCAGCAGAGGGCTGTGAACAGGATTACAGAAAGAAACATGCTCTGGGCTGGAAGAACCAGGTGTTTCTTCTAAATTCTGGTCACCCTAGAGAAAATGAGTTTGATCTAGCATCACTGTGGAGACATTATTGTTCTTTTATAAAGATTCCTCCCCTTTAGGCTGAATGAACCCTGAACACTGTGGTGCTGCATTAAGAGCTGGAGACCTCAGTATGAACTCAGGTTTATTTGAATATACCTATATGTCTAGATCTAGACATATCTATCTAGACCTACCTATTGATCTTGATCTATCTATCTAGAGTTGCTTAAAATAAATGAGGGTATGTCATAGGGACACAGGAGTCAATCTGAAAGATCCCAAAGACAAAAATTGGAATAATTTAGCAATAAGATACATAATATAGTATTGGACAATTCACAATACAAAATAAATATATATTTTTTAAACTTTTATTTATTTATTTATTTTTGGCCCCACCATGTGGCCTGTGGGATCTTAGTTCCCCAACCAGGGACCGAACCCAGGCCCTCGGCAGTGAGAGGGCTGAGTCCCAACCACTGGACTGCCAGGGAATTCCCCCAGAATAAATATATTGACTCTGCACTGATATTGATGAATAAACAAATAAATAAATGGAGGAAATGGGACAAGTCTTCCTTTATAGAAGAATTTCAAATGATATAGAGACTCTTCCCTCTCCAGGAGGTAGAGCTTAATCCCTCCACTGCCCTTAACTGTGGGTAGGACCTTGTGACTTATTTCCCAGGAACAGAATACAAAGAATATAGTGGAGGGCTTCCCTGGTGGCGCAGTGGTTGAGAGTCTGCCTGCCGATGCAGGGGACGCGGGTTCGTGCCCTGGTCCGGGAGGATCCCACATGCCGCGGAGCGGCTGGGCCCGTGAGCCATGGCCGCTGAGTCTGCGCGTCCGGAGCCTGTGCTCCGCAACGGGAGAGGCCACAGCAGTGAGAGGCCCGCGTACTGCAAAAGAAAAAAGAATACAGTGGAGAAATGTGGCAAACACTGTCTTGGCCAGGAGATAAAGGTTAACATCCCAGTGATGAACTGTGGCTATCATGTACCACCCCCCACTGACTCTGTGGTCTTCCTCCTCACAACCCCATAACCCCGGTAAAATCATAAGAAAAACATCAGACAAACCAGATCGAGGGACGTTTTACAAAATACCTGACCAGTACTCTTCAAGACTGTCAAGATCATGAAAAACAAGAAAAGACTGTGAAACAAAGACCCGAGGAGACCGAGTTCACACAACAGCTATACCCGATGTGGTCTCCTGAATGAGATCCTGGAACTGAAATAGGACATTAATGAAAAAAACAGGTGAAATCCCAATACAACTTAGTTGAAAACAAAACAAAACTGAACAAACCAAAACCTCTTCCCCAGGGCTGACGGGCTGACGGCTTTCTCCAGAGCCCCGCTCTGAGTCGCTGTCTCTGTGCTCTTCCAGTCTCCGCGTCCTTTGACGGGAAGCAGCACCTGCGGAGTCTGCCCGTGGTGAACAGCATTGGGTACGTCCTCTGTTTCCTTGCCAAGCTGTGCCGAAGCCTCCTGTGTGACGACCTCTTCAGCCACCAGCCGTTCCCCAGGGGCACCAGCGCCTCCGAGGAAGCCCCTGAGAGCCTGGAAGACAGGATGGAGTCAGGTAGGGTTTGCCCGTCTGTCTTCCTGGGCCTGCAGGTGGTTCCAGGTGTCCCCGCCCTCCCGGGGCAGGTGAGGCTGCCGCTAAGGGGGCTCCTGGGAACTCTGCTGCTGGAAGCTCACGGGCTGCTCCTCTGGGCAGCCGGGGAACAGTCAAGGCTGACCAGGGCCAAGGACACCCCGACGGGCCCTGCCCAGGCTGCAGTGGGAAGAGATGGCTCCAGCTACTGAGAGCTGACATTATAGCTTCTAGGCCTATATTATTAGAATTCAGACAATGAGACCGCATCACATGCAATGAGTGATTTTTTTCCTCTCTTCTAATTAAGACTCTTGAGCATTTATTCATCATCGTTGAGTAATTGAAGGACTACTAGCCTAAGGAACAAAGAAATCCTGAAGAAACAAGGGCTAACGAATTAATTACGTTGGTCCTGTCTGGGGGCCTCAGATTCCTATCCAGGTTAAAAAAATGTGTAACAGAGTGTCTATCATGGCAGGAATTTGACCCGCCCATAAATCACATATGTCCTTCAGTGAGAGTGTTTCTCTCTCGTCACAGGATAGAAAGTGACCCAGGGGCTGAACGCCTTTTGTGTCACCAGCCCCAGAATAGCTCAGCATAGGGAAGTGGCCAGTGGGAAGGGCAGCAAGGCCACATGGGCAAACTTGCCACACTGTTGTCTGCCCAATGGGCTGCTCCTTCCTTCCCCACTTAGCGGCCCTGAGTTATGGATTTGCAAGGAGTTGAACATGAGTCCAGGTTCTAGATTCCAGGTTCCCAAGGATGAGCAGGCATGTTGCCTTTTTTCTTTCTCTGGAAGCAGTGTTGTTGATACATAAAGAACACATAGACAGTGAAATGGAATCTAACCATTATGCCATTCTGCAAACACTTGCTGAACCTTTTCTGTTCCAAGCACCATGTGAGACCCTGTCTTGGAATAAGGCAAATATGTATGTGAGCTTAGGAAAGTTTTTGAGGTATTGAGTGACCAGTGTGAATAATGAAAAACTTACATTTGCAGGTATGTGCTCACAGACAGGCTTAGAGCATTCAACAAAAGGATACTTATAATAGGAGTGGCTGTGTTTTAAGCCTAGGAGGACATCAGGGAAGGATAAAGTTAGATTCTAAGCATAGATTTTTCTCACATCCTGTCAAGAGCCTTGTCTACAGTTTTACTTTAAACTCTCAGAGACCTGGGAAACAGGAAGAAATCTGGCCTTTACAAAGAAATGTACCTAATTAAATATAGTTTGTGTGAGCAGATGCTATATACTTCTGTGTTTTTCTTGATGCCTCTATATGTGTGAGCTTGGGAAAGTCTTCTCATGTCTCTGGGCCTCAGTTTCCTGTGTGAAATGATGGGCTGAGTTGCTCATGTATAATGTTCTGGTTCTGACAGTCTACGAATCTGGCCTCTCTTGTAAACCTTAGTTGACTCAGAAACATATTGTAAAGCTCACGTATCTTCCAGTGAATCTTGCAATGAAAATAGCAGATGATGATCTGATTTCACTTCGCACACCCTAAAGTCATTGTTACATTGAACAAGCAATGACCCATGGACATAATCATAAAGCCACATAATTCCTGTCTCCCATTCTCCTTTAAATGAAAGTCTCCTGTGAGACCACTTCTTCCCTGTCCATGGAAGAAATTTAGGGCAAATCTCGTGACTTTTCTGGCTCCTTTCAGATAACAAAACACTCTCTAGTAAATAATTAATATGTCCAGGTCAGTGTGATCATCAAACTTTAAATTTCACTCAAAGATGGAACTACTCCCCATTCCCAGCTCAGCCCTGCTTCAGGCCAGTTGCCTGCAGCAGTAAAGGAGGGCAAGGTTGGCGTCTCTCCACCTCCTGCCCAGCCCTATGTTTTTGCCCCTTCCTTATCTAGCTAATAATGATTCCCAATCCTTCCTGATCAGAGTGAGGGAAGGAGGAGAGGCAAGAGGTAGGAGAGTTTTTACTTGACTAATCCCACTGTGAGCTGGCATCAGCCTCTCTGGTTCTGGCAGGTGTTTCAAGCTGATTCTGCCTCCTGTGGGCTCTTGCATGGGTCCTTTGGTGATCCTACCATCTCTCATCTGCACGTTCCTTGACATGGACAAAGGTAACTCTTCTCTGGCTGGTCACTTACAGTTCTTCCCACAGCCTCAAGGCATCTGTGGGTACATCTCTAACTTCTTTCTGCTGAGGCCCCCTTGTGCCTCCAGACAGTCCGGAAAGGATCTAAGATAATCTCACTTCAGATCTCTCTTCTGATGGCCCGCATCTGGTCCCTTAGAAACATCCTTTGCCCAAACAAACTCAGGGCGTGCAGGCTGATCTCAGCAGGCACGTCTCCTTTGTCCTGCCATCACAGCAGCCAGACTTTTTGGTTTCTCATGGAAATCAAGCAGTAATCCATTGTGTCTCTTGAGCTCCAGGGACAGATATCAAGCTATTCACACGGCCACACTGAAGCCCTTGGATCACATGGGGCAGTTCTCTCCACAGTTCATCTTCTATTCAACCTGCTTTTCAACCTCTACAATTTCTTTTGCAGGCTGCATGTGGGTGGTCATCTACACAGGTAAAACTGGCTTCCCACCACCTCTTTTTGCTAGATCTCCACACTTCACTCTGGTGTGGGGAGACTACTGTCTTGCAGCTTCAGCAAAACTGAAACTAAAATAGTTTCATTTTAACTTCCTGTCCCAGGAACCACCCTTCAGCTTTCCTTAAGTGATCACGGAGGAAACCTTTGCCTTGGTTTCCTCTTTATTCTTTCTCCTTCCAAGCTCACCATGCTGAGTGAAGTTCCTGTCTTTTTCCTGGGAAGAGTGTAGTGCAGCTGCCTCACTTCTTCCCTTGGCTGAGGCCGGTATTTCTGCCTGCAAGCTGGTTTCTTTCCTAGTTGGCTTGGCTTTGCAAGTAATGACTCCAGTTGTCTTCATGAGCCCTTCCCTAGCCTGTGGCTGCTTTGAAAAAATGAATTGCTCCAGTTCTTGTGGAAATTGTTCCCCGTGCCCTGGGTGCTACAGAACCAAGCGCTGTGTGTTTCTTGTGTCTGGGGCCCCAGGGAGGGTGGAGGAAGCAGCTACGGCATGGTAAGCTTTGAGCAGCCCCCTGGCACACATCTCTCCTACCCGTTTGCCGTGGGGCCTAGGATGACACCACTAAAGAGTCTGCCTTTAGGGCTTTGCTGGTGGCGCAGTGGTTGAGAGTCCGCCTGCCGATGCAGGGGACGCGGGTTCGTGCCCCGGGCCGGGAAGATCCCACATGCCGCGGAGTGGCTGGGCCCGTGAGCCGTGGCCGCTGAGCTTGCGTGACCGGAGCCTGTGCTCCGCAACGGGAGGGGCCGCAACAGTGAGAGGCCCGCGTACCGCAAAAAAAAAAAAAAGAGTTTGCCTTTAGACTAAGACATTGCCTCTTTAGGATTGCCATGTCAAAGTTCCCTTAAAGGATAACATATCAAGTTATTATTACCTTGGATGAGGAATTAGTTTATTACCCACTTTCCCACGACTGTGGCAAGAAAGGCAGGTGTATTTATAAGCGAAGGGATGGAGGTCTTCATTGATTTTAGGCTTCATATCTATCCATAGGACCACGTCATTCCTAAACAAGATCGTACAGTCTTGAACTCATTTGAACCAGATCCTGCTCTGCCCCAAGGTTGTTCAGTCAAAGCTGGAGTGTTCCAGGTTTGGTGCCACACAGTTAGAGGGTTTGTCAACACTCATTAGGACATTTCCAAAAGACAGTTAGTCAGACAATAAGAAAATGCAAAGCCGTGACACATAAGGAGCTATATAAAAAAATGGATGATTTGGGGAAGACACAATTTTCTGTTCCAGGATATGACAGCAGGTCACGTGGATTTGTTCTCTGTGGCCCTGAAGATAGATTTAATTAAACCTCACGTCTTGCCACTCAAACTCGGGTCAGGAGCACTGTCGTAACCTGAGAAAGGAAAAGCTCAGTGGCCCTCCCTCACTCCTTCACAACAGATCTCAGGTGTTTTGAAGACACTTAAAGTTGCAGAAGCCTGGGTTTCAGGAATACTCTCCCACGTAGAGGACTTGGCAGCTGAATAACCAGGTGGAACTCTCAGAAGACAGCTCCCTCAGGATTCAGGTGGGGTTGACATTGTAAAGAACTTTGGAAAGTCAAAGCCATTCAGAAGTAGAAGGAGCTGCTTGGATGGAGAGATCTCCTCATTACTGGTGACAAGTGCAGATGTCCACATGTCAGGGCCATTAGGGTGAACTCTGGCAACCCAGAGGAGTAAGAGCAAAAGATGTCCTCTCTGGTCCCTTCCAAGCTGAGAGTCACGGCTGGAGGTGGCAGAGGAAGCCACGGACAGCAGGAGGTGAGAGGCCCTAGAAGCCCTGGGGAGGGGTCCCCCAAAGGGGAAGATGAGGGTACCAAGACAGAAGGGCTCACATTAGAGCAGAGAGAGGGCTTCTTCCAAATCTCTTCCTCAGACCTTTGAAATATAAACTCTGTCACCAAATGATCTTTCTCCTGCATTCAGGGAAAACCAGGTTTCAGACCCACTCAGTTGCCTGAATTCAGTCTGAAAGGTAGAATTCTTGGCTTGAGACCAAGAATTTTAGTCATTTTCCTCCAGATCTATTAACTGACAGCCAAATGTTCATGTTTTCAGAAGAAGAGCAGTTCCCTGGATGCTTTAGGAGAATGGAAGCAAAAACATGGATTTGATAACATTTGTGGTTCTGTCAGAAGTCCTGAGATGATCATGGGGAAATTTTACCTTATCTTTGAATGTTGGGGGAAAAAAAAGTTCTCAATTATAAGTAAGCTTTAGCCAGTGCTTCTCAAACTTTAATATGTCCTGGTACCACCCGGGCATCTTGATAAAATGTGGATCCTGGCGCAGGAGGGCTGGAGTGGGGCCTGAGAGTCTGCTTTCTAACAGGCTCCCAGGCGATGTCCGTGCTGCTGCTGGTTGGGGACCACACTTTGAACGAGAAAGTGTGTGCTGACG